CCCTCTGCAGGCCCCTTCCCCCTCGCCCCGTTAATCCAGCTCAGCTGAGGATGCCGAGGTCAGGCTCTGGCACGGAGAACCAGCGTCTTAAAGGGGACTGTGCTCTCACCCACCCCGTGGGGAGCCTGTCCTGACAGGGACCCTGCTCCTGGGGGCACAGGGGCTCCCTGGGTTTGGCTGCTGACCCTGGGCACCCCACTGTTGAGGGCAGCACTGAGGGGGCTGTGCTGGGGACCCCAGGCTGAGCGTGTCCCCCCTTGCCTCACTGGGTGCCCGAGCCCAGCCACCTGCATTCCTGCTGCCCCTTAATGCCTCGGTGCCCGTCTGGGCCCTAAGCAGGGGAGAAAGGGGCCATTGTTCAGGGGCTTTGAGGAAAGTCTGGGCACTGCAGGGCTGGAAAGGCTCCTTCTATCTCCGGGCAGTGGAGGGACTGCCACCTGCACACACCTTGCTCCAGGGACATGGGTGCTCCAGGGACATGGGGGCTGCTGGGTCTCCAGAGCCATGCACAGCCAGGCTGTCCTGGCACCGGTGGCAGCTTCCCACCACCCTCCCTCCCAGAGAACACCACGTGCACGCAGAACTCTTTTCAAGCTCGAATTTATTCCCGCACGAGTCTCCCTTGTATGAGACACTTCCCACCCATCTTGCTTACACAGTAAACAAGCCACCTGCCAAGCAGCAGCGCTGCCCCAGTCCAGTACCTGCCCCGGGCAGCCCCCCCAGCCCGGCCTGCCCTCCCTGAGCCCCGCTGGGATGCCCCAGGCTGGGCAGGGTGCTCGTGCCAGCGCTCAGCCCGTGCCCGCAGGGCAGTAAGGGCAAAGCCAGCCGGATGCTGGGTTGGATGTAGCTGCCCTGCAGGCTGGGATGGTGCTGGGTCGGGCCCGTCCCTCCTCCCACTGCACCTCAGGCAAAGGCTGGACGGGGAGGAGGTGAATAAATTAGAGAAAAGGCTAAAAAGGCCACTGGCATTTGCTTTAGCTGGAGGACGGAGCAGCAGGGTGGGTCCCCGGGCACCCAGGGGGGGGCTCCTGATCACGGGGAGGAAAAAGCCCCAATTGCAGATGGTCCCGGAAAGCCACTGTCCTCCCCTCCCTCTCCTCCACGGGGAGGATGTTCCTGTGCAACCCCAGTGGCCCCCCGCTCCCCTAAATGGTTTAAGGCACCGTTGTATGAGGGGGCAGGTAAAAACCTACCCGAGGCATCCCCCGACACCAGTCCCTGGAGAGGCAGGAAGCGGCGGGGTGGGTGCTCCAGGTGAAGCAAAGTCCACTATAAATACATATAAATTCCACAAAATGTTCTCCTCCCTCCTGTCCGTGAGTCTGGGCCTGAGCTCAGGCTGCTGTGAGGAGTGTTTGTGTGGGGCAGCTGCTGGGGAGCTGCTGGAGGAGGCAACTGGAGTGCTGGAGTCCTTTGCCAGGAGGTTTGGAAGTGCCAGGAGGAGGTCGGGAGCAGTTCACCAATCCTCTGGGGTAGCCAAGCAGGTACAGGAGTGCCAAGAGGCCAGGAGGGATGAGTGAGGCT